TTTCTGTCTTGTCTCCTTTATTATWTTCCAATAATTTTCTGTAGTTGTAATTTATCTCTTTATACAAATATCTTACCTGGCTGCAGCTGTTGGCAACAAATAATGAATGGCATTCATGAGGGGGCAGCTTGACGCTAACCTGCATTTTACTCTGTGACTACCACCTTATTGTCTCTGCTAACTGTCCCCAAGAATGACAATGACTCCACTTAGGTGGATTTCACTGGTATCCATCTTAGTGTTATGTTGTTCACAAACGATTATTTCAGACACATTAATCTTTTGAGTGAATGAATTGAATCAAATCACTGTATTAACCTATTTGTTCCTTTCTTGTTTCAGTTCTCATAGCAATTTTTGAGTATAAATTAAATATATATTGTATATCTGCAGCTGTTAGGTTAGAGCTGACTATCACTGTTTAGTACTGTATTATTCTGCATGTAGATCTTACTTTTGTAACTCTGATAATGGTTTACTGATTGTGTTCATTAAATTCAAATTATAATTGACATGAGTCTGCCTGCAGATAACACTATGTATTACTGAACAGCTGACCTGAATGGTTGCTTTGCTGCAGAAGAAATTTCCCTGTGAAATATTACTTCTTGTGTTTCTGTCTGTGAATTTTAGCCTGTGCTACAGTTTATAGCAAAACCTTCAGCTCCTGATGTGTTAATCTTTCTTTTCATGGACTTTTCACATGTATACATGTGGTTCACGCTGATCCACAATCAACACACAGTAATGATGTTGCCTCAAACCATGTGACGTCCAATCCAGTGATAAATGTCAATGAGCAAAACCATGCCCACCAGGACAGAGATTGATTCCTTTTTTCAGAGGTTTTCCTTTTTAAAGATATGAAACTGTAAAGAAATGTTAAAATAAATACAGTATTTGCAAAACGTGTTCATGTTCATAATGAAACAAATTGCATCAAACTTTTTTTTATGTCTTTATTGGTGTTTTTTGCCTTTACTTGAGAAATGTTTCAATGGTTTGTTCGCGGTACACAACTTTACATTAACAATAATTACAGTAATGATTAAAATGTCTGATGATCATTTTTTGGTAAACAATTTATCTTTATAATTAAATGCTTACATACACCAAGATCAGCCTTTAAACAACCTGTAAGAGCCCAGATGATCATGACATGGTTTGAAGAGGTTAGTTGACAACATTTGAGGTAATTGCAGACAACTGTGGACGTATTTATTGTTTCTCTGTGTGGCTTCATGAGAAAATTAAAGAAATCAGGAAGAGAATCATTCACCTCCTAAACTCACTCGCTTCAGATGTTATCATCCATTAAATGGACGTTATTAGCAGTTCTCCGTCCCACAGAATGGCTTCAGACTGTCAGCTGGTTAATATGAGGCATAAAGCCATTAAGGTTAATTTTAGAGAAAATGRCATGGGCTATGAGAAAGTAGACCAGACTCTGGCTGTAGCAGATTTGTTACATTCCAACATAACGGCACTGGTAACCCACTAGGGGGCACAGTCAGGACAGTCTGAAGCCATTCTATGGGACTGATGACCGCTAATAACGTCCATTTATTGGAGACATTGGTGACTACATGTGAATGCCCCAGTTATTCTGTAGTCACTGTTGTCAGCATGCAACAAGTGCTGCTGTGAGCCCCTYCCACTTCCCAGTCACTGACAGCTGCTCAGTCTCACAGCAGCAGCATGCAGCAAASCCTGCCTGCAGTCAGAGCAGAGCCTCTTCACTGTGTCCACACTGCAGAAATAATCCACACCATTTGTAAACGTCTATAAAAAACACATACACACACTCGCTCTGTTGTTTGGGTCTAATTTGAAAACCTGCTATTCTTTTCTTACACAGGGGCAGAAAAAGGTAGTAAATTAAATGAGCTCAAATTTTCATCACCCTGTAAGACCTCATTTTGTAATAACAACGCATTATGTAATAATGTAATTAAATCAGGCTTCAAAATGTAATAAACTAAAACCGCATTATGTAAGAACTGATGCAAAATGTAATAAAAGTATTTAACGCATTATGTAATAACGATTTTGCGGCAATTATTACAAAATGTGGTGGTGTAATAATCTGGTGCATTATATAATAAATAATCAAAACCAGTATTTCTGTTCATCCTAATCAATATATTTGTAATAAATGCCATGTTGCAAATACTACATAATTAAATCTTTATATCTTTGGTCAATAAACACTGAACTTCTCATTATCTGTATTTTCAGATTTACTGTCCTGATCCCTGTTACAGAAATTATTCCACCTTGTAGACAACTTTTAAAATATATCTACAAGTTAGTTGTACGTATATGTCAACCCCTTCAGATGTTTACCTGTATAATGAGCCTAAAAAGTCTGTAATTTTTGTAAAAAAAAAGTATTAATCACACACGGGGNCCTGCCTGCAGTCAGAGCAGAGCCTCTTCACTGTGTCCACACTGCAGAAATAATCCACACCATTTGTAAACGTCTATAAAAAACACATACACACACTCGCTCTGTTGTTTGGGTCTAATTTGAAAACCTGCTATTCTTTTCTTACACAGGGGCAGAAAAAGGTAGTAAATTAAATGAGCTCAAATTTTCATCACCCTGTAAGACCTCATTTTGTAATAACAACGCATTATGTAATAATGTAATTAAATCAGGCTTCAAAATGTAATAAACTAAAACCGCATTATGTAAGAACTGATGCAAAATGTAATAAAAGTATTTAACGCATTATGTAATAACGATTTTGCGGCAATTATTACAAAATGTGGTGGTGTAATAATCTGGTGCATTATATAATAAATAATCAAAACCAGTATTTCTGTTCATCCTAATCAATATATTTGTAATAAATGCCATGTTGCAAATACTACATAATTAAATCTTTATATCTTTGGTCAATAAACACTGAACTTCTCATTATCTGTATTTTCAGATTTACTGTCCTGATCCCTGTTACAGAAATTATTCCACCTTGTAGACAACTTTTAAAATATATCTACAAGTTAGTTGTACGTATATGTCAACCCCTTCAGATGTTTACCTGTATAATGAGCCTAAAAAGTCTGTAATTTTTGTAAAAAAAAAGTATTAATCACACACGGGGGATGGGGGGTGCAGATGGACCATCAGCCATGGAGGGGAGGGGGGCGGGGTGCAGGCGGACTGTCGGCTGTAGCAGTATCAGAAGTAAATGAGGGTGGAAGAACTTGAAGAACAGAGTGTGAGGTCTTAGACAAAATCAGCAGTCTACTTCAAGTAAGTGGGATGAAGTTTTGTTTCAGTGAGAGATGGCCATCATCTGACATGGGTCAGTGCTGAGTCCACTGCCCCCCCTCCAAAAAAAGGCTGCTGCTCGATTTTGTGTTGGTAGTAAAACACTGTAGAGGCAGTAAACTAGGTAGTAAAAGGTAGTAAATTTCACTGTAGGATTCCTGTATTAACCCTGTTATAAAAATAAATAAATAATAAATAAGGAAAGTAAATTAGTCTTCATTTGTTTAGACATTAAAACAATAATCAAACATCTCACTCCAAGCTCTGATCAAAATAACAGCAACAAGAAGAACCCATTTCCAAACTCGGAAACATCTTCAGTGGTGGGCACAGCTAACAAAACTAACTGCCATTCTGCTACTTAAGAAATGCTTTGCAAACACTCACTGAACAGGTTGAAAAAAAAAGCAGACTAATGTTTACTGATAATCTCTAACTTGGAGTCTGTCACTGAAACAAAGACATCAGAACCTTGGCTGAAAAGTCATAAAAACATCTATATGTTCTCCAAACAGTTAAAACCACAAGAAACTGAATCAAAAATGCTAAAGATGCTGCACTATGCTGGGTTGTATGAAGGTAATTTGTTATACCACAGTTTTGAAATATGAGGACGGTATGTAAAATATTTAGAAACTTAAAACCYTAAAAAGACATACTTGGACTTTTTTTTATCTATTCGACATAAAAAAAGAAAGACAATTCATGACTCTTTCAGGTGAATAGATGCTATTGGTTTTCAATGTGTAACATGACACGATGTGTACGGGAGGTGAAAACAATGTTTCAGTTCAGCCAGTGGATGAACCTCGTGCAGAGGAGTCTACAACATTGGCAGTGGGTGAGGCTGGAGTCTCATCCATGGCCCCACCTGGAAGACTTCTTTGTTTTTGAGGCAAGGGAAAAGTTGAACAAAAACACCCTGTACTTCCAACACATCACCTCTGCAACACAAAGTCACATTCGCATATTAACCCTTTCGTGCATAGAGGTCACTACAGTGTACAGCTGTTTACAAGTGTTTTTTTTTTCTATATATATACAGCGGGTAAAATAAGTGTTGAACACGTCACCATTTTTCTCAGTAAATATATTACTAGAGGTGCTAATGACATGAAATGTTCACCAGATGTTGGTAACAACCCAAGTGATCCATACATACAAAGAAATCAAACCATACATGTCCAGAAATGAAGTTATTTGTTATAATGTAGAATGGCACAGGGAAAGTA